TGCAAGTTCAACAATGTTGCGAATCGCTTCCCTCGGGACTACAACAAAGTTGCAAGTTCAACAATGTTGCGAATCGCTCCTCTCCGAACTGCAACAATGTTGCAATTTCGAGAGGAGCGTTTTCGACATTTGCAACATTGTTGGAATTTTGAGCTGCCATGTTTTGTCAGTACAGGTTGCCTAATTCAAGGGGCTTAGTTTTCTGTACGTTTCGTTCATGTGCTCCTGTGCGAAGAGGTGGCACGAGAAACATGACACTCAAAGAAGTAGCATAACTTTTAATTAAATATCGATACTTACCTCGATACTTACCTTGAGCGTATACTTACCTTGCGTGTATCAGGAGAACGTAATGAGCGAGTAGGTGTCATAATTTTTATTTTCTGCTCGATACTTACCTCTTGTATCAGGAGAACGTAATGTGCGAGTTGGTATCATAATTTTTATTTTTTGCTTGAAACTTACCTCTTGTACGAGGAGATCACGATGAACGAGGAGGTGGCACTAATCGAATTTGCCTTGAATTCTACTCACGTACGTACCTTTTGTATCAGAGTCACATGAACAAAGTACTTTTACCCTCCCCGACTATCGAAGAAATTTTGTCTAAATTAAATAATTGGTTTTATGTTTCTAATTAAATATTTATTACAAACAAACACTAAGCATGAAAAGATAAAAAACCGAAATAAAATAAAGAAGGACGAAGAAAGAAAATGATGGAGAAGGCGAAAGTAAAGAAGAAAACAGAACATCAAATTAGTTGTTGGACGAGCTTGCAACATATGTGTACATTGGGGAACAGGTGATACTGAGAACAGATTTAGGAATTTTTAAACGAGAACGCGAACGTTACATAAATTACATATTCGAGTTACGATATCTACACGATCCTTTGATCTAGACGTGCGTGGATCTAGAAAATGTCAGCATAAATAATATTCCCCGATTAGTAGTCGAAATCGTTCACGGTCAAAGGAATAACTCCGATCGTGAGACCAGCAAGTATTTATACGTGTCTCGTAGCGAGACAGCGACACACGGTAGCTCTGACACGCTCAATCTTTCATCCCGGTTTCAAAAAAGAAACTTCGATCGGTCGACGTGAATTTAGACCTACTAGCAACAGACTATCGAAGTTTCAAATGTTAGCGTGGACTAGTTAAGAAGAGGCGCATCCACTAGGCAGCGCATATTCTTGGATCAGCTCTCTCGGCCCAGTCACAGACCTGATCGCATTCTCTTGTTAATTTCACCGATTCGATTACGGCCACTTCACGAAACCTTCTTCGTCCGTTCATTTCCTATCATAGTTCATATCACGCAAAGCACCTTGAAACGTTGCTTAATTTCAGATCATCGCTTACGTACAGAAATGTATAGAAGTATATATACATATATATATTGGTATGCTAATTTGGAATTCCAAATTATTAAAATTAAAAATTCATAGTTGCAAAGTGATGATTTAAAATAAGAAATTCAGAGTTATTGTTTAATGCTTTTTCAGATAATCTTACTATCTACTCGTTTATTTTCTAGATAATCTTACTAATTGTGAACGTATTCTCGATGTTCGACAAATTCATTTCAGTCAGTACCTTAAATAAATGTAACTGAATTTACATTTACACACTTATTTATCACATTATACATTTACATTTACACATTTATTTAAAATTAATGCAAAGTATCGCGTTTCGTACGGACTTAAAAACCCCGAATATGTAATGTTATTAAGCCTAATCGTTAGATACGTTCGAAATCCTCGAAAAGCTTCAGTAATTAAACCAGCATTTACAATCCCGCGGTATTTTCACCTACTCTTCGTAATCAATGGATCTCGGTACCGGAGCGTTTATCTTAATGAAGTTCGATAAGGTGTCCAATTAATTTTCTTAGTAAAAGTCTCGAGGGGATCTCGGCAAGAGCTCTCGTTCACGTTGCGCGTTAACTTCCAAATTTGCTAGCCTGCTAATCTCCACCAGCGAGCCGATGACGCGACGTTCCGTACGGAATGCTGAAATTCCACGATTTTTATTCGTCTCGAATGCACAATCGGGAACTTGGGATATCGAACACGTCCGTCCAAGCGGAGTCTGAAAATAAGGTCAACGTCACCGATGAAGCCGCGTCGACTAAACCGGGACGTACGAAATAGAATACCTCCGAACTCTGTAGGATTTGAAACAGCTGACGTCGATCGTAAACGAACCAACACTCAAACTTCTCGGACCACTTGTAAAGGCTTTTTCCTAAAGGTGTTCTAGTATTTCATTTGTACATCACGTTATTGGCGATTATCAGTGGTTCTGTCGAATAAATCTTTTCCAAAAGTCAAGTATTAGGTTGTCCCGAAAGTTTCTTTCGTAATTTCCACTCAATTATTTTGCGCGGTAGTGTTTATATAAATAGACAATCTAATTTCTTGGATGTCGACGGTGTAACAGTAATGGAGCAAAATGAATCGTACGCAATTCAATAACGTAACATTGGACATAAAATATCGTGCATGTATTACTTATCAATAAAACGAAAGAAACTTTTCGGACAATCTGATATAATTTGACCGACTAACGCAATAAATGTTGTACACGCATCTCGTCTAATATTGATTTTTTAAATAACCCCTATCGTTCATCGATCCCAGCAGATATCGACAAAGGTTTGATTTCGCGATTCCGATCGTTTTTTCAAGGAATAGTTTAAAATATCCACGGGACACGCCGGTGTAGACGAAATCATTCAGTCTCTACCGTATCTCGCACACGGCCTACTTCGTCCAAGTGCTATGAACTTTGCAATAACCTGCGATAAACCAAGAGCAGTTCTCTAGCACGAGAGAGGTTTCCGTTTAGCGACAGTTTTCCGCGACTGGTCGCGAACGATTACTCCCGTGGAGAGCGCGAGGTGGACGTCACATAAATAATCGAAAGCGCAGTACTCACTGTAATCCGACGTGTCGTCGTTGGATCCGTTCACCGTGCCATCCGGCAGGATCTGTAGATGTCGATTCTTGATGTACATCTGTATTTTCCTGGAAGCGCCGGTGATGTGGGACAAATTGGCGGATCGTTCGGCCCTCACGCCGGCATCGCCCGTTAAATCAACCGGCGCGGCACTCACTGCACTGATAACTGTGCCAATCGCGAATACACTCAACACGCCGGTACTCGGTCTCGCACTGCAGTTGAACACGCTCGATTTACGGAGCCCGCACTGCCCGAACGCGACGAGGAACAGGAGAAAGGCTAACCGAATGTACGACGAACGGCTGTTTGGACACTCGCGTCTCTTCTTCCTCGTTCCCCGGGGACACCTCGTGGACCCGTCGTCACGAGGAAACTCGGTCTGGCGAACGCTCGGCGCGACCTTGGCGACGCACGACTCACGTCTCCAGGAATTCGTCGAGTCCACTTCCTTCCACGTTTCATCGACCAAGGACGGAAGCACGCTCCCTGGAACGAGCTTCTCGTAGGTTCGGTCGCTCGACTGACTAGAGAACAATGCCTTCCCTATTCGCACGCAATCCGCTGCGTGGACCTGCGGCCAGTTCTCGGCCGAGAAATCGCGTTTAGAGCAGCAGCCCCGTTCCCCGTCGTTCCCGCTCGGGAATCGATTCCTCGTGGGATCGAAAGCACGAAATCGCCAACGCTTTGTCACTGAATTCTCCGCGTGCTCGTCGACGACACCGCGGAGCCTGGACTCTGGCAGTTCCAGGCAAGAGTCATCGCGATCATCTCGGATGGCTTGCGACGCATCGGCAAGCCTAGGAACGTTTGGCTCGGTTCTTTGGAATCCTCTCGATCCTGCTCGTCTCGATGGCAAAACGGAGCAACGACGAGACTTCGTAGCTTCTTCGTCGAGCGATTCGTTGGAATCGATCCGCGGTAGTCGTCGCGCGATGGAGGCTCGAACGGCTCTATTATCGCGGCGCAAGGAAGACTCGGTGGAAGCTGAGGCTACGATCGGTATCGGGCAGTCGGCACGGTAATCACAGTGCAGCACCCTTGGCCCGCCCGTGTCGATCTCAGCGGGCATGACGGTCTCATCCACACTCCTTTCCGAGCCCTCCTTCTTATCTACGCGCCGCTTCCTCGCTTTTATCTCGATATCGCTGGCGCTCGTATCTTTGCTCGTTCTATCGTTTTCCACGTCGGCCTCCGTGTCCGGCGAACTTGTACACCCGTCGATGATCAGCTGGATCAGAGCCACCGGCGATTCGTTTGGTCGCGGTGGCAGTCGCAAGAGTGAAAAGGCGCGTCTACGATGGAAGAATACGATGACCACCTCATGGTTACTCCGGTTTCGCCGAACACAGGCTCGCTTGGAAGCTTCTCGCCGAACACCGAGGATGCGGCAACTGGTCCTCTGTTACCGTCCTTGTACCGCGTTTTCGGTACTCTCGCATTATCGCTGACCGCCGTGGCAGCGGTTCTTCCGCGGTAGGATGGAGCAATCAACGACACGGTCGAAGGAACCAGCTCGCGGTAGTCAGAACGGCTTGTTCGCGAAGATAGGAAACCACGGGATTGGTTTACGAGGTAGCATCGAGGCGACGTTCGATGTATCCTGAATGAAAACGACCGACCGAATCGTTTCTGACTTCCCGTGTCCGATATATCGCCGAGGGTACTCGTTACACTGCGAATGATCCTGGGTGAATCCGATCGGCGGTTAGGAGACGATCGACGAAACGCCTTCGACGAAGGGAATTAGCGACAAAGAAGACGAAAGGATCGTCGTTCGCTCGCCTTTAATCGGTCTTGTCGAAGCACGCAGGTTGATGCTACCGATTACCTTCGTCGACCTCGCTCTGTTCCTCTCTCTCTCGGTCCCTCTATCAATCGCAAGAACTTCTACCGACACGTTACTCGTACCGCCTTAACGGGTTTCTCTCACTCTTTCTTTCTCCCTCTCTTCCCAGTCACCGCCACCACCTCCTCTCTTTATCCCTGTCTCTGTCCCCGTATCACTGTTTCTCTTTTCACTGACTGCCCTCCCCACCCCCCTTCCCGGCCCGTGGGAGCGCGTATCCTTCCGGAGTCGCGGAGGGTCGTAATCACGCGCGGAGATTTCTTTCGCGAGAATAATTCGCGGGGTTCACTTGCCACCACTTCTCACCCACTGCTCGCGGACGTGTATCGCGTATCGCGAAACCTGGCTCGGACCACCGGCGCTTAGCTGACTGTGCTCCGACACGTTCCGTCACCGCGCGAAAACACCCTGGCGAGGTCGTACGATGCTCCCTCCGCGATGATAAACAACCAACTCGCGAGAAGACGGGTGACGGTGTGGCGAAACGAACGACCGACGAGCCTCCGCGCAACGCTCGATCGAAGGTGGTGGTGGATCGACGTTCGATCGTTGCCGATGGATCCCTCGTGGCGCGGGGGGGGGGGGGGGGGGGGCGGGGGGCGGGGGGGCCAGGATATACTCGAGGAAACGATCTTTCCAAGATCCAGACTATCCCGACGATAGTTTCCCGTATTTCGTGAACGGTCACCTGGCTCCGTTTTCGTTTTCTTCGCGTTCCGACGAAACGTGCGATCCAGTGTCGCGATCGTGGCGTCCGTCGTTATTATTACGAGGTCGGGGATAGTCCGGGCACTCCGGGGTTATCTGGTAGGTCGGATGGTGCCGGTGCGGCGTCCGAGAAACTACTGAACGAGTGCCGCGGTTCTCTTCTCCGGCTCGGTTCGGGCACGCTCCTCGGTTCGCTCTCGTAGAGAGACCGAACACCAGACCGACACACCATCACACGGCCCGGCAGCAGCCGAGAGTGAAACCAATACCAACGCGCGTGGATCGACTCGACTCGCTACTCACACGGGCCCGCAGCATCCATCCCATCCCGTCGTAGTTGTAGTAGTAGCCGTCGTCCCGTTTCGTCCCGTTTCGTCTCGTCTCGTCCCGTTCCGCTTCATACCATGTCGTCCCGGTTCCGTCCCATCCCAGAGCGACGCAGCACGCGACAGATCTGGATGCTCGCTCGCTCTCGTCCACTACCGCGCCTCCACGACCACCACGCGCCTCTTCTTCTCCCTCTCTTCTTTCGCCTTACTTCCCCTCCTCCTTTCCACCTTCGTGTATCTCCCTTTCTCCTACCCTTTCTCTCTCTCTCTCTCTCTCTCTTCTCTCGAGCTCTCTCCTTATTTCTCTTTCTCTGTCTCCACCTGGTCTACCTATGCTACTCCGAACCGCGACTTCGTTACCTTTCTATCTTTCCCTGCTAACCACCGTTTCTCTCTTCCCTCCTTCTTTTCCTCGTTACGCCTCTTTTGCGTCGGTTTTCTTCCCTTCCCGTGCTCTTTCCTCTTCCTCGCGAATCTCCTCGACGCTTCGCGTCAGTACGCTTCACGTTCCCGTTCACTGGTGCTCCGATCCGATTTCTCTCGCGTTTTCTTCGATCCACGTTTTACCTACCGACCTATTTCGACAGTGTGCGCGATTTTTCGGAAAATTCTCACAACTTTCGACGAAACTCGTTACGCGGTGATCCGAGCTTTACGTCGAAGTGCGTGCACCGTGGCTACGTCGGGAGCTCTGTTTTCTCGCGTCGAGTACGATGGTTGACAAGCAAAGACGCAATTAACAGCCCCCGGTAGGTAGGCAATGGAGATTAAACAGCCTACGGATAAGCACCTGGTGCGAAAAGGATGGATTCCAAAGATTCGACACTGAGCTGCTGTTTCTTCTTTGTTCTCTCGTACTTCTCGTGCCGCGAAATGTTTCATCTGGTTCTTTGCGACCTTTGCTTATCTTTCTTCCCCCTTTCCTCTATCCTTATTATCTCTCCAATTCGATTTTCCTCGCGTTTCCTTCAATTACTGCTTCATCAATTGCTCTATTTAAGAAGTGTGCGCAATTTTTCATCGAATTTTGCAACCTTTAAATGAAACCTAAAACGATTTTATTGGTTCGTATCCTGTTTCTCTCGTTCAGCCTGGTCTACGTTTGATTGGTTTACCTTTCTATCTTTATTTGGACCGCACAGGTTCGCTTTTTCTCCGTGACGGATACTTTGCTTCGCCTGTGTTCCCTCTCGCGTTCTTTTCTCTTCTTCTAGATCTTCCTTGCTTCGCAATACATCTGTACGGTTTCTATTTTGTCGGCCTTTAGATCCAATTTCTTTCGCATTTCGACAACTTATCGTCCAGCTAGCGTTTCTCTATCGTCCTCCTCGTACTCCACGGTGTTTCGGCTGTTTCCTGTACACTTTCGCTTATCTCCCTTTGTCCTAACCCTTTTCTTTCTCTTCTTTCCCACTCCCTCCTTATTCCTCTTTCCCTGCCTCCGCCTGGTCCGCCTATGCTGCTCCTCGCCACTGCTTCGTTACCTCCGTCTTCATCTTCTGACTGTAGCACCACCGAGAACACGAAAAAATTTGTCTGGTCATTTTATATGTAAATTCATCGTCATTCCAATTATTTCTAATTAAAACTATACAGATTACAATTAGTCCCACTACTATTCCTATAACGACATTCTTATGCAATAAACAAGGATGTAACACTGCAGTTTGTAATGATAGAGGTACTAAATCCTATACATATCCTGATACATATCACTGAAAAAAATCTAATACTAAACCTATTTTCTCCCTTAACACGTTGATCGCCACGTTACCCATATACATAGGTAACAATGCTTATCACTGAAAAACTACGAAAATTAATTCTGAAAGTTTTAAGTGTCACAGAAAATGAATTTAAATAAAATACTTGACATTTGACGAAGTTACAAAATACCACAATAAATGTTTCATTACGCAGTTTCCAATAGTCTGTAAACAAAGTTTAATCGCAGTAGACATTTTTAAGAGTATTAATCTGACAGTGAACGTGTTAACCCTTAGCACTCGAGAGTGGCTCGAGAGTGGCTCGAGAGTGACTCTCGGTGGTCGCTAGGTTCGACGCAGTCAATCAACCAACAATAACGTTTGCTTAGGTTTCATCTCTTTGGAACTCGAAGTGTCAATAAAATGATTGTATCGGAAGAATTTCAAGTGAACCGAAGCAGGTGTCTCTTCTCTAGCCCTCCAACGTGCTTGACAGACTCTCTTTGCCCGCTTGCTAACGAACTCAGCATCGCAGGATAATTATTCCTCCACGTGTCCCTGCGCTGCTAGGTCGATGCCGAAAGATAAAGGCGTCGGCCAGGCTAGAGAAAGAAGAAGACCGTTAACAAGGCCACGAAGGACGAGCGTGAACACCTGCAAACCTGGTAAGATAGATCGCTTTGGAAATCGCCTGTTGCACGCGCGTCCGTGTCACGATTACTTTTACTTCGTCTTCTCCGTCCTTTTCTTCCCTCTTCTTCGTCCTTTCGATCCAGGTTCGATATTCTCAGCGTTGGCCCCGTTCCGGCTTATTTGCTCAGTACACTTTGTATCTTATCGAGTCCTCTCCCTTTCTGGCGTTTTCTTCCGTGTTCTGTAGCCCCCCCACCGTCCCCTACTGTCCGTTTCTTTACTCTTGGTGGCTATTCTTCCTGTCCTACCGCCTCTGTTTCGCTAACGGGACGTCTCGTAGTGTTTGTTTCACGCCACCGTGCAATGCACGAGACCGCGATCAGCCGCGACGCGCATGAGTTGTCGTTTTCTACGGCTACTTCGCTTCGTTTCCTTTTCAATCTTCCTTAGACGCGAGCGAAAGCTTGATCGAGGTCAGCCGAGCGTACCAGTAAATGGTAAACAAGGTCGTCCCTTAAATTCACGACCGGGGGAAATGTTTCCGTTTGTGGAGTCTTTCCGGGCTACTGATCGACGAGAAAAATCCATTGTCGAATGGTAAATACCGAATGAAATGCGATGCCATCTCTGGTTCAAGGACTTCTTCTTCTTCTTTTTCTTCTTCTTCTTTTTTTTTTTTCGTCTGTCTGTTTAATTCGTGTTGGATATTTCGCGATGAAAGCGGCGAAATTTCTACGAAACGTGCTTTGTAGCCTCGTACGCTCTTGCCGCAAAGAAGTATGGTTGCAACGACAGTGATTTTTCGAGGAGCAACCCATAGGGAATTTACAGTCGATTTTAAATTTAGATTAAAATTATTAGGTTGTCCCGAAAGTTTCTTTCGCGAGTTGCACTCAATTATTTCATGTAGTCGTGTTGAAATATTAGGTTGTCTAGAAAGTTCGTGGCAATTTTTAAGAAAACTTCAAAGGCACATTTTAATTATAATATACATTTATTTATATGTATATTTATTGAATTACATGGGTACCATTTTGTTCCACAACCTTTCCACCTTTTAAGAAATGTACATATATATATGTTATTTGTTTTCAGCCATTTCGACATATTCAGACCGGCATCACCTATCAAAAATCGATAGTCTAATTTCATAGATATTCATGTTGTAACGGTAACGAAAACGTAATGTAACATAAAACGTAAAATATCGTGCATGTATCACTTATTAATAAAGCGAAAGAAACTTTTCGGACAACCTAATACTTCGTCTATTTCGGTAATTGAACATATACCATGTTTATCGTTTATAATTATAATATTATTGTACCATTTATCACATTTAAATTAAATGTACGAATTAAATATATTTAAAATTCGTGGCAACGAAGTAAATATTAAGAATCGAAGAAATAAACTGTATTTGGCACAGATGCATATTTATCGAATGTCTGGATTGTATGATAAATGGTAGCACTTAAATTATTAAACGTTTTTGTAGCCGATAAGCAATGGACAAAATCGAAAAATTTAATAACAAGAACCGGTTACGTTCGGAGTCAGGTAGCACGTTATTCTTGCGTGCGCACATACTTCGAACATAACTCGCGACGACTTGTTGCATCACATAGATAGCAACATTGTTATCATTTCTGCCTAGACATGTTTACGGAAAATGTACGTAGATAACGTTCTTTATCTATACAGGGTGGCATCTAGTTGTTCGTCAACATATCAGAAAGTTGATCCACATTTTTCTATACTTTTCGAACTTTGTTTCAGCTGTGACGAATTTAGAAAGATAGTTGAATAGTCTACGTTCCGCTCGTGGAAATTCAAGATCGAGTAGAATTATTAGATTATATTGTAAATATAATGAATTCCGCTCTCGACATTTTCTTGGATTCTAATAATTGGAAATTATTTTTATTTTTATCATAAGAAATCGTCTTCCGCTGCAAACGGGAATAGCGTGTTTCATTAATTTACATGCAACTCCTCCGAAGGAACGCCAAGAACTGATGATACTGCATCGTAGCAGGCTGTTTCTTGTTTTAATTAAAGTTACGTTTGCAACTAGAGAGACCGGTGCTGGTTGAGAAGAAGAAATTAATACGTACTCCGTGTACGTGCGGGGACGAAGGGGTTAACAAGGGACTGCCCCGCGGATCGTAAGAAGAGGAACGGAAAGGATCGCGCATCGGTTA